CATGATAGACTCCTTTGAAAAACATTGGCGCACGTGTAAACGAGTTGCTCTACCAACTGAGCTATAGCCCTTGTATTTGTGATACATATTTTATCATATTATGTAGATAATTTCTTGTCAAGATGAATATTAGATGATTCAGCATTCTATCTCATCGCTTTGGTCTGTTTGCTTAGTATTGCTTCGAAGTATTATTGCATTTCTAATCCATTGATGTGATAGGTTCCTTTGCTTTTTTCTTTATGATGATAAATGACCTACTTAACTCAGTGGTTAGAGTATTGCTTTCATACGGCGGGAGTCATTGGTTCAAATCCAATAGTAGGTAGAACTTATTAGACACCGGAATCCCTGGTATCTAATAAGTTTTTTTACCCACCTTCTTTTAGTGATTTTAGATCGTTTTCATCCTATTCTACTTCAGTTTTCATTTTGAAATTTTTTTATCTAAAAATCCGATTTCATTTTATTCGATTTAATCGGAAAATAAAAAAAGGAAGTGTATACAGAGATTCTTTCCAGTATTTGGCGACTAGTTACGAAATCGCAATCGCATTGATAGCCTCTACTCGTGTCCTAGCGCGTCTGAGAGCTAGATTTGCCTCAATTGTTTGCATCTTGCCTTCCGCTTTCTGCAAGTTAGCTTCTGCTATTTCAAGAGTTTGCTGAGCTTCTTGTGGATCAATGTCACTACCTTTCTCCGCATCCTTTACTAAAAGAGTGATCTCATTATTGACTATTCTAGCAAAACCATCCATTAGAGCCATTGTTAACCATTGGTCGTTAAGGCGTATTTTCAAAACACCTATATCTACAGCTGTGGCAATAGGCGCGTGATCCGGTAATATGCCAATTTGTCCACTATTAGTTGATAAAATGATTTCTTTCACTTCTGAATCCCAAACAATTCGATTAGGGGTGAGTACACAAAGATTTAAGGTCATTTCTTCAATTTGCTCTCCTTTTCTAAGTTAATTTCGTAGCCTTCTCAGTAGCTTCATCGATGTTACCTACCAAATAAAAGGCCTGCTCCGGAAGACCGTCTAATTCTCCAGAAAGAATCAATTTAAACCCTCTAATAGTTTCTGCTAGACCAACATATTTCCCCGGGGAACCGGTAAAAACTTCCGCTACGAAAAAGGGTTGTGATAAGAAACGCTCCATTTTTCGTGCTCTTGCTACGGTTAAGCGATCCTCTTCGGACAATTCGTCCAACCCAAGGATAGCTATAATGTCCTGAAGTTCTTTGTAACGTTGTAAGGTTTGCTTAACTCTTTGCGCGGTTTCATAATGTTCCGCACCGACGATCCGCGGTTGGAGCATAGTTGACGTTGAGTCTAAAGGGTCTACCGCTGGATAGAT